CTTATCTCTTCCATTCATATAAAGATTGATCTACTTATTTGCCCACAGAGTTGACCTTTTCACCTCCTCCACTTATCATCTCATCTTCTGTCTGGATGAAAGAATGTTTGAAGTAAATTCATTCACTTGTTTCGCAATGCACATTTGATGACTACCGTCACCTTAAAGGAGTTAGTCTAAATGATACATAGGAAATCAAGAGGACAGTTTTTGTTCATGGCTCATTTACTGTTCGTTCAAAATGGTGTCGGATCACAGGCCACGAAAGTGGTAAGTTCAACCTCAAACCAAATGGAACTATTTGGAACCCTACGCATTCGACGAACGAATTCAGTGAGAGGGACGCAATCGACCAGTAATGCATATGACCTATATCCTCAGGTCCAACGCAGACGAGGAGTCCAGTGAAGCAAGGACAAATACTTTCAAAAATCCTATAGTTCTAATGGCAGTTCGTCCATGTATTAACTCTCCTCACTATCACACCAATAATATACTCATTAATGCAACATTCACATTATCCTAGTGAATTTATTACCATTATTTCTACTGACATTGAACTGTGACATTCACGCATTTACATTACTCATACAATTATAAAACTATTGACCTAATATTTACGCCATGGCATTCACAACTCACTGAATTACTTTTTATGATTCAATAACGCAGGAAATTTACTTGCATTAAGTGTGTTGGCACCACCTTTTTGCATATTATATTAGATTCTCACCAATGTGCCGGAGGTCGTTTTTACATAACCATACCAAACAACACTTTCCATTTCAAAATCGTCTCTTGTTATGTTCATGGACTCTTTTAATTATAGAATCCCTTCTGTGAAGACCGATAATCTTTATCATGTAGTAAATCATCTGTTAAAGTATTGGCTCTATTCAACACTGTGATATCTCATTGTTCACTCAAGTGGCTACTATTATCTCACACAGATGGTTCATTATAATTACTGGGCACCCATTTACCGCACACTTTACTGAAGATGGCCCAGGCATTCAGTGTTTGACAACGCTTTAACCAGTAACACCTTCTAATATAACTCGTACCCACCAAGAGAAATCAAAAGACAGAATTGAGGAGATTGGAAGATATATTTGATGACTATCAATATATCGAGAATTGTCTGATCTAATCTGGCTAGCGATTGCAGTAAATGTTGAGCACGGCGTTCCCATTCGTGATCTGGTGCGGATGCATGACCGAGCGCCTTCAGCTAGGTGAGTCCATTAAAACAGGTGGTCAGCATCCAATGTCGAAAACTTACAGAACTATTTATTTTGGGGATTTATTTACCGCTACATTACAATCTAGTCAGTTTGATAGGCGATTATATAACACAAACATTCACTCAAACTAACAGTTTATGCAGTTGGGAGAATCTTCTATAAATAGACGCATCATCGGGAAAATTACCGTAGCATTGGCAAAAGTTCACACCTATATCATGAACACAATTTATACAGACTGTTGTGTCTTGTTACTGAGGTTCAGTATGGCCCACAATGCTACAGATCTAGGAACAAAAACGACTGCGGTTCAGTAAAGAAGTTGGTATCCCACATCAAGTTCCGAAGCAAAAGTCGATCCAGCGTGTGCACTACAAGACAGAAAAAGCCAAATTAATGTTCATCGCAATGATTTTGTGGTTTTGCTGCAGCAAAACACCACTTAAATACGAGAACACTTAAGATTCGTGCAAATGAATTACGAAACGGCCTCCAAATGTCAGGCCATCCAAGGTTGTTTAGACGAGACAGCGGACGGCTTAGAGTGGACCTGACTTTTCACTGTGCCATATGTGACAAGGTTAAAATTAAGGGTTTGTAAACATTCAACATCATTCTATCCTACTATATACTACTATTTTAGCAAACAAATTAACTATAATCTCTGTAATTCTCCTTCAGTAATACAACAGGTCTCTTTCGTTAATTAGGGGTCTGTTTTATTCTGGCAACTTTAAGAGCATGATGATATGAAGTTATTAGATTAGCTTATCCTCCACTTCTGATATCCCGACACAAATCCCGTTAGTTGTAATTCTATTTTTTGTAACCATGTACTGAAAAATTCACCCATTTTCCAAAATGGTGACTGATTGATTTTTTGTTCTTAGCAAACCTTGTAACTCCCTTCTTGTTCATTGTACAGTCTCTTGACTGGTTACTTACTACCTCAAGAACGACCTAAACAGCAATAAAACTTAGTAAATGCTGTAGTGACCTATTTTTATCAAGAGAACACCATTTGTTTAATGGAAACAATTATTATTATAATCAATTGTACCAGTGACTGTTTAACTGTACTAGAGACATACTTCCTTCCGTTGATCGTGACCTTGCGCGTATTCGGTTACGCTCAGTAACCACACTTGTACTCCATTGGCACGACCTCGGTATTCTTTCGATACCACGAGATCGCCCAAAAATACATCTCGACTACAGCCATCAACTGCCTTCTGATAATTGGCTTACGGGGATCTTATCGGCTAACTGGTACGCAACCTTCCTGTAGTGGTGATTATAGTCAACCTCGACTCGACGCCACGCTACAACGCCATTTGACCCCTTACCTTCAGATAGTAAGAGAACTCTTACCGTAGTTGTGTTTTGTCCGCATTCGTGTTCATTAACTATTATTTTAATGTCTAGATTAATTTGGATCCTTCCGCTCAGAGAATGTGGCAAAAGGAAACGCCATAATTCAAGATTGTTGGACTACTGATCTTATGTGTTTCTTTTTATGGAAACACACTGTGACTTTTGCAACATTCTTATTTTGGTCTCATTTTAAATGTATATCAACTTTGCTAGGTCAGTGTCACTTCTATTGGTGTTTTCAACACGAAATTCATGACATGTTCACACAAACACAGTTCAATTACATATTCTTTACCCAAATCGTTTTATAATCAGATTAAAACTATTTGTATTGTTAAGGTAGACTTAAATCAAAGAGGAAACGGTAAGATGGAAAGTAATGGTTAGAAAAACATCATGGGAAGAATGACATATTTAATATCGCTAGGAAAATCTCAAATCCTATTTTCCCTCATTTTTTGACAATAAATGGTAGTTTCGACGTATGAGAAAACCCGAGGTAACTTCCAAACAATTCATACGTTCCCACTACCCTTTAATATTATCTGATCGGCTGATCTTACATCTGATTTAGAATTTTCACTGTGTCCAAAGATCACATTCGTTGCTACATATAGTTACTCTATTACAATTACGGATGTTTTAATTATAATATTTCTTCCAGGGTTTCTAACTTATTTCTCTGTCCTTATGTGAAATTGTTATCTAATCGTCCAGCTTATCTTGTTCGCACTAATCTCGTCCCAAATAGTACTTTTGAGATGTTACCCAGACTCTTCAACCAACGATAACAGTTATCCAGCAGGTCCTGATACGAAAGCCTTGCTAACCAAAGTTACTGACTACCAATGGACTGTACAATTAACATATTTCAAAATAGATATTATTACAAGTACACTTTGCCTGCAAATTATAACTAACACGGAAACTAGATCGTTTTCCTGCTGACTACTTCCAGCCACCTAACATATGAACATGCTACACGCAATGTTAAATCTTGTAGACTAGTGGTCACATTGTAACTTGATTAAGAGAATTCGATCAGCACTGAAAAGTCAGTCAGCCACAACTTAGGACCAGGTACATATATGCATCGGTCCAAGTTGCCATACCTCATTAACACAATAGGATAGACACCCGATTCATAAAAGTAGTTAATTCAGAGGTGGTAATATATAAAAGAAAGATTGCAATAAGGATATGGTACAGGAAGAAAGAATTAGTTCGTAGAAAGAAAGATGTGAAACGATTTTAATCTCTTAGTTTAAGGGAAGACAGAGTGTATACACCGACGCCATTGTGATCGATTCTGAGCCATGTCACCAAGAGTCTCCAACCATTGGTTACGATAGTCACGCGGACCCCAACCAAGTAGTCTGCATCTACCAACATGACTCAGACTAGATGTTAGTGACTTCAAGCACTGATGCCACGTTTTGGTTTGGCTGCCTCTAACTTTCTTCCAACCATCTCCAACACCGGTTAGCATTGCACGTCGTGGTAATCGGTGTTCTGGCATACGTAACACGTGGCCCAACCATCACAGTCGATGAAGATTCACAACCTCATCAACTGATTTATCATCATAACCTGATACCCTGCGTCTAACCTCAGTACTACTTATCCGGCGAACCCAGCAATATTTCTAAGGCATCTGTGGTCAAATACTAGTAGCTTTGGAGTGTCTTCTACTCTTAATGGCCGTAAATTAAAACAGAACGGACTGCCGCGCAATATACTCGTCCTTTCATTGATAGACGGATATCTTGCCTTCGCCAAAGGTGACTTAAGTTGGCAAAAGCCAAGCGAGCTTTTCGAATCCGTGCTGAGATTTCGTCAGACACCAATCCATTAGGGCTGATCAGACTTCCAAGATAAGTGAAGTTGTCAACGCATTCGACTACTTCACTCCCTATCCTTAGTTCAGATGTTGACGCAGACCAGTCCTGAAGCAACAGCTTGCATTTAGAAGGAGAGTAGCGCATGTCAAACATTCTGGCATTGTTGCTTAGTGCTACCAAACTACTCTGCATTTTATCAGCGTCTTCACCAAACAGGACTATATCATCTGTGTATTCTAAGTCGATAAGTGAACCTCCTGGAAGGAGATTAATACCCGAGAATTCAGTAGACGATAACTAAGGAATTGTGAATATTTCAGTCCTATGGAAGTTCAGTTATACCTTGAATTACATAATGGTAATATCACAGTCCGTGAAACTGGGTAATATGCACTCGAATCCTAAAGTCAACACAAATTCAATGAATATTGTAGATATTCCTTTCTGATGAATGATAACTACGGTGAAATCCAGGTAAATAGCTTCCTGAAAACTACCTTCAATCTGACTGACTTGATCAAGGTATATAGAAAACATTAATGTCGAAATTATTCATATTTCCCACAAAAACAAAAGAAAAACACGATCAACTTAATGAATGTGACTTTCAGTATTGAAGCAAAGATACCATAATATCATAAGGCCTACAAATAAATTATTATTTAAAATCATGATACGATTAATTTATATAAAAATAAATAAGAAACCGCTAAGTTCACCAAAAACAAATTACATAAAAATTGTTTACTTTATGGTTAAAATCAGAAAACCATGTTGAGTTATTTAAATAGAATTCTAAGGTGGGCGGGGGAATGAAATAGATTGACATTACTACTAAATGACCATAATAATATAACATTCCTGATTACATAATACACATATACTAACAACTAACTTGTTAGTGTATGTTAGAGATAGAATTTTTTTTAAAAAAAATACAACTGGTACTATTAAAACGGAATTTAAAAGCAAAAATAGAATCACATTAAAATTACAATGTTCCTCCTTTGTTTTTGTTTTTCAAATTGAATACATACTACATTCAAGAAGGTTCCAAATAAGAAATTCAAGGAATTCAAAGAAATAAAAAATTGTTTTAATCATCATCTTCATCATCATCATCAGCAACAACAATAAGATTGATTATCAAATGTCAATATTTTGTCACCATATCGGATTAAGGATAAAAAGTTTTTTTACAAAATATCAATATAACTAAGTGAAGATTTCTTTGAAGAAAGAAAGAAAAAAGATCAAACCATTTTGAATAGTTTCAAAGCATAAAAAATAAACAAACAAACAATGAGATAGTCACTTCATGAATTGGTCAATTGATAAAATTTATTTATATTGGTAAAATACATTTGAGTTATTTAAGAATAATTGCTCACATTATTATTGATTATGATTTGTTGTTGAATAAGTGTTTTCCATACAAGTTTAATTTCCAGTGTAGAACAATCAAATTTTAATGTTGTTCCATTTGTAAGTATTAATAAAAATGATAAAGCTGAAATGAATTTACAAAGGAATATGTTAGTTTGTTAGAATATTTGTTGTAGTCAATGAAGTAGAACTGAACCAAATTTATTAATAGCGCCAATCCACTAGAATAAAAATAGAGTGGTATTACTGCTTAACTTACGTAGTTTTATGATGAAACTAAGCCAATGGAAAACTCTTTAAGCTGACCTACCCTATCCTGATGGATAAGCTGATCTGTTCCTCTAATGAACTCAAAAATAGTTTTACAAAACAAGTGTAATATTTAGGAGAATAGGTCAAAGGGATCCAATGTATACAAAGTTACAATCAAGTTGCGTGTGCCCAAAAAACTCACACAGTCAGTCAGGTAATCAGTGGTAGCTGTTATTTGATCTTGAAGAGTCATGAGAAACACAAACGTTCAATGATCCGTCTTCTAAAGTAATGATACGTTTAGAATGACAGATAATTTGGTTAAGATTCAGCACTATTTACCTGACTCCATAATTCTGATAATTTTTTATTGTTATCCCAACATCTATTGCTTAGTGAATGAAGTAATCAATTTACAAACGTTAGATGTCAAATTAAATCCTCACACACCGAAACCGGAATAAGCTATTGGGTACTATTACTAGTATTTACGACAGAATCGAATAGTTCACTATTTTATCTTAGAACACCTATTAATTCAACCATGAATTCCAAATATAAACCTTAATATAGGGTCGAATGTAATACAATATTTCTGGATTTATAACTGAACAGACTGAAGAAGCTATTGAAAAGTTGCTCGCTAGAAATATTCTTTTTTTCTGGATATTCTATGAAGATTTTTAAGCTAAACTTTGCTAACTTAACAGCTTATCTAAACATGAAGCTCTACGTTACTGTGAGCGAAACCGTTTCAAAGCAGACTATTGTGTTAATCTACAATCGTGAGGTATATACTTTCTGAACGTGCAAAATAAGAAGTTTACAGTATCTGACTATCAACAGTTTCAAAACATTACGTAAATGTTCTTAAACAAGTAGTATACACGTAAAAATGAGATTAGACACAAAGTTGAATTATGGATATTGTCAGTAGATGTAAGCATTAAACTATCATTCCATACTTCAAAGACGTTTAGTAAAATAACTTGACTAAAAAACCGACTAACCTGATATGTCATAATCTTGAAAGCTGATTGAATTGAAAGTTATTGGTTTATAGACTAAACATGATGGTCGACGAGTATCGAGAACATCTTTATCAGATACAACTAACAGAATGGCATCATTTAATAAATACGCGAAAACCTATGAGATTATACAAATAGAAATGCAACAAAAATATTAGTAAGATACATAATATTATATTCGATGGATTCATTATTTTAATAAAAATGGAACTAAAACAGATCATTCTTTAATCAGGTAATAACAAGACAAAGATATATAGGAAGGTCGTCTAACTCATTTACCAGATACAAACCAGTATAAGTGACTTCGAATCAAAATTTAGGCAATAGATCTAGTGATGCTAACCGAATAGGGTGGAACTGGATTTAAAGTATCGGGCAGTATTTCAATCATTCTCTAGATGATAATATACTCACTCATAACGATTTTCTCATCATAAAAAAGATTAATAATAACAGATTTGTTGTATATACATATCTAGATGAATATGGAAGGAAAGGAAATTTAAAACTGACTCCCAACACTTTAGCCCCCAAATGTCCTGGTACGGGCTATAGTGAGGAGAGTCTTCTCTCCCTCTCGAAATGCTCTCACATGGCCACGCGTATAAAGCCTCTGCCAGAGAAGTCCTACTCACTGCCTTCTCGCACCAGGGGTGTTGTTTACGAAATTGAGAGGACGAAAAGCGAATAACCAGCTCTTTAACTGGGTTGATAGACATGGAAAGCCAACTGGGGAGTTGGAAAACCCTGATTCCAAACCAATGGTGCATATGGGCTCCAGCATCTTGAAGGAACAAATGGCGAATGAACCAATCGTTGGTCGCCAGCTACCATGCGGCTGCATCTCCTTACGATGCTCCACTGCTTTATGGATCAGACCTTCATGTCGAAGGCTCCGTGTGTGCCCCCTAAGAAAACCACCTGCTTCGGTTTGGGCAGCCGGGCAATATCACAGCCGTCACACATATCAAATGAGATCTGTGTGGCGCATATGTATTTGGTTGCCTTTTTACCAATATCGATTATTAGTATAACATAGTTCTGAAAAGAACTCAAAGTAAGCAAACTCAACAAGGTAGTCTACAAGTTTCTCCTTCAAGGGGTTGACAAAAGCCACGTATGCCCGAACACCGAATACCACGACGTGCAATGCTAACCGGTGTTGGAGATGGTTGGAAGAAAGTTAGAGGCAGCCAAACCAAAACGTGGCATCAGTGCTTGAAGTCACTAACTTCTAGTCTGAGTCATGTTGGTAGATGCAGACTACTTGGTTGGGGTCCGCGTGACTATCGTAACCAATGGTTGGAGACTCTTGGTGACATGGCTCAGAATCGATCACAATGGCGTCGGTGTATACACTCTGTCTTCCCTTAAACTAAGAGATTAAAATCGTTTCACATCTTTCTTTCTACGAACTAATTCTTTCTTCCTGTACCATATCCTTATTGCAATCTTTCTTTTATATATTACCACCTCTGAATTAACTACTTTTATGAATCGGGTGTCCATCTTGTTGTGTTAATGAGTTATGGCAACTTGAACCGATGCATGTATGTGCCTGGTCCTACGTTGTAGCTGACTGACTGACTCATTGTATTAAACATGGCATGTGAAATGCGTGAAACATTAGGTCATGAAGCCCCACGATGGTTTGATTTCTCTGTGATTACATGTGTCAAATCTTTATACTTCATCAGACAATTGATATGATCAAAAATACCACAAACCAGCAGACGCAGTATTTTTCTCGTTATTTCATCTTCGGATTTCGAAATTATTGCTCTCGGTTTTAAAACCCTCTCTTCAAATCACCTGGTTGATACGATAATAAGATATCAATAAAAACGGAAAGAATTTTGTTTGCGATAATCAAACATCGGTCTTCTTTATGTTAAGACTGGATAAAACGAACGATCGCGTCTTAACACAGTGTGATATTTATCTCATATAACATTTAGAATTTGCTATGTATTTGTTTAGTGAAAAGAAATCCAATAATTCGCTGTATAATTATCAATTGCCAGCGAAATCTGTAATAAGATGGAGGTATTTGCTGAATAGATTGTTGTAGCGCTTTTGAAGGGTGAATAAAATATTCATTGGCCGTAAATTTTGTCTTTTTCATTGCATTGTATAAATCTCCGTATTTCCTGTTATCAGAACCATGTTTTGGCGGTTACATCATCACACAATAAATATAAATCTTATAACCCAGGAACATATATCTTATTGAACTACGAAATATCGGAAAACAAACCTTGGCCAATGCACGAAAAGAATATGTTTTAAGGAAAAAAAGCATTCTTTCATGCACAAATTTTCTTTAAAGTGATTATTAGCTATATTTCAATAAATATAAATCTTATTACATATCATACTGAATAAATGCAGGAATTATAGGAATACAGTCGAACAATCATCATAAACTCTTCATCCTTTCCTATAAGTAAGCATTTTAAACAATATATAGTTCTACTGGATCATTATAAAAAACAAACATGACTATTGTTGTATCCCGATAAGAATAATGAATGGTAATTTTTGGGATCCATTTGTGGACCAATATTATGAGTATATTTTTATCGTATAATTGTTACGTAACTAAACTGTTCATATTCATGCCCCTCTTATTATGAGCTTTATTTTGACCTATGAACTATTATTGTACGATTTACCATTCATGAATTATTCCCTGTCTATTAATCGCTACCTCCCTCATTCACAGCCACATCTGGCTAATTCTTGTACAAGTGTTGTTTCATATTTTGTTGGTACGTTGTGGTCTGTTTGATTGGTATATAAACTCAGTATGCTTGAAATATAATGATTCATATTGCAGAGGCTGAAACTAGTGTTCTGAACTTAACTGGCTGGGCTAGACAGGGGAGCAGGGCCAATCAGGACTCTAGGTCGTACTTACGCGTTTTACGCGTCTTTGGTCCGATCGATAATTCACTGCCGTAAAGTAAAACAGAACGGACTGCAGCGCAGTATACTCGTCCTTTTATTGATAGACGGATATCTCACCTTCGCCAAAGGTGACGTAAGTTGGTAAAAACCAAACAAGCTTTTCGAATCCGTGCTGAGATTTCGTCCGATACCAGCCCATTAGGGTTGATCAGACTTCCAAGATAAGTGAAGTTGTCAACGCATTCGACTACTTCACTCCATATCCTTAGTTCAGGTGTTGACGCAGACCAGTCCTGAAGCAACAACTTGCATTTAGAAGGAGAGAAGCGCATGTCAAACATTCTGGCATTGTTGCTTAGTGCTACAAAAAGACTGCAGCGTCTTCACCAAACAGGACTATGTCATCTGAGTATTCTAAGTCGAAAGTGGACCTCACTGCGCTCCAATCTTCAGTCACAAGTTATAACAACTATGATATGAAATAATCAGTTATGATAGGAGTGGGAACGAAAAGGGAACTTACATGTATCACCTTAAATACTACATATTGCATAATAAATCAATTTCAATGATATAAATTAAGAAAAAAAAATAAACAAACTTACAGGACCACGATAAGATGTATCTTCTACTATTAAATCTGGATATTGTTTTGAGCATAATGTACAAATGAGATAACTTTTATAAATAATATAATGATTAATTGATGACCATTCAGATGGATTAAATGTTAATAATTCATTTGGATAAGGGAATAAAGGTGGTAAAATATACTTCATCAATTTGGCTAATTGTAAGTTTTCTTTAACATTGAATTTTTCTTGATGATTTACAGGAGAATTTTCACATTCATATGACAGTGCTGATACTGTTGATCTATTATTATTATTACTATTACCATTATTATTAGTATTAGTATTATTATTGGTAGTAGTAGTAGTAGTAGTAATGCATGAAGTAGATGAAGTATGTGATAATGATTGAGAATTTGATAAGTGACTCATATCATTTAAAACAAAATTATTGACAATCAATTTATCATCTTTGGGTGTATGTGAATATGATTGACAAGTTAATGCATCTGATAAAACTATAGAAACAAAAATTTGAAGAAAACAAAACACCGTCTGTTACGGACTTGAAGAAACATAAAAATTAGATTGATTTCAATTGAGGTACTACTTAAAATTGAAAAAAAACGTAATGGACAATTATTTTGTCACAATATAGAAGTTTTTACCAATACGTAGCCACAGCTTTACCAGGATTCTCAGGTATCGTGACGAATATTTGATCATTAAAACAACCGATTCGGTATACAGTGTAATAATTTCAACTTCAACGAATATAAAAGATTGATATGTTTACCACTGATTTATTCGACTGCTGAGATAATGGTATATGAAAATGATTTTTTTTCCTAATTGCCAGCGAAATGTAGTCAAATTGTGTGACTTAATCAATTGGTTATGGGTGCGTAACTGTATGACGTGGTAAACATGTGTTTAGACAGTAGGTTATTGATTAGTTGGTGTTAAACACTACCCAGCTCAATGTATACAAACCTGGCCGTGAATAAATCATATGAAAAGTGGCGTCTTCATGAAGTAATTTTATTTGTTTTGGCAGTCAAGTAAATTCATATTACAAGTCTTTGTGTTTTACTTCACGTGATCGAAGTTGGGATTTCAGTACCAAGGATAAGTCAGACAAACATTCCACAGATATAACAAAACTTAAGACAATTTTATGAGAAATGTTCAATATGAAATATATTTAAGTCACGAACCGCCTTTTAATAATCCTGATAAGTCCAATTCTACGATGAAACAACAACTCTAAAATGCTCTCCAACTTTCAACGGAGAAAGAACTTGTTGAAATATTGTATACTGTAATTTCTTATCGTAATAAACACTTAATTTTGAATAAACCCACTATTATTACCATTACCATGATTGTTTGGATAATATGGCTAGGAATTAATTTCACCGGCGCAGTTGTATTCATTCTTTATCTTTCCTCAGATCCCAACTTTTTAAATTCCTCAAAAATTACTTTCTATTAGTTCATTAATTTATATCTTTTTCAATCGTATTATGGCGCGCAATCTTTTCTATTACCATTAATATTGTTATTACCTCTACTACTCTGTATTCGCCCTGACAATTTCATCCTTCTGTACTAGTATTATACGGTAACTTGAACAAACGTATATATGTACAAGGTTCTACGTTGCTTTTGACTGGCTGAATGATTATTATTATCAAACCACCATTGTATAAAACAAAAGTCGTATTGTCAGGTTCAAAAAGACAGATAGCGGAAAGGGAATACATGAGATTGAACTATGATTTTCTAAGTTAATTTTTTGTGCCAAATATTTTGGCAATTAATTTATTTAATCACATGTACTACAACTAAGGTCAAAGTTAGAAAAAAACACCGCTGAAAACAATACTACTGAAAAAGTAAAAGTAATATATTATTCACAGACAAGTTTTTGAACCACGTGTAAGAAGTGTATCCACTATATTACCTTGGTTTTGTATATATTTTTACTCTATACTTACTGTTCGGTGGTTGGCTAATATTCTCAAGGTCACTCAAAAATCGTTCAAAGGTCGTCCATAAATTAGAGTCTCGCTATTCATGTAACCGAAACTGAGACATCCAGATTTTGCAGTAAACATGATATCATAAAACATTTGAGTGACGATTTTGTATAATTTCTTGGGAAACGTCAGTTTGCTTAAGATTACAGATTCTCCTTACCCACGAGAGTTAACTCATACGAAACGTATGTCTTTAGAGTATCTTATCGACTACTTTCAACTATTTAACATCTTGACAGTCAAGTCGGAATAAAAAATGTCAAGGCCTATCTAGTTTAAAGAACAATATACAGCATTGGAGATTATTGAACTTTACTGACATCACAAATTGATTTACGTAAGACTATCACTAAAAATCTGGCAGTAGTGAATGCCCGTTTCGTCTGTGTCGGACTCCTTAGCGATGCACATCTACGATCCCGCACACGAGAATCAAGCCTAAGAAATTCGGTCTCGTATGCTCACTAGTAACTAGCATCTATGAGAAATTACCGGACTTGTAGTGAGAAACAGTAACTAGTGGAGCTCAACCGTGTAGGATATGACTAATCAACCCACTAAAGACAATGGAAGATGGTCGCGCAATATCGTAGATTGGTATAAGTTAAACTTAAACACTATCGAAAACCGGCGCAATGACTTACTGGTCAAGTTTTCATGCATGAGACCCATCCTAAGTGAGATTTCAGTGTGGGGGCTCATGAGTGAGCACTGCTGATTTCCATACTAGGACGAGAAAACCGTTTGGTACTTCCAGGTTTTCAATGATTGACTAACTTATATTGTTGCGTAATATCAACATTACTATGTAATTAGTAGTGCTTTCTTTAAAAAAACACCCCGATAAGAATTGCAATCACAGAATTGCATAATAGTTATCATATTTTTACTTTGTATTAATTGATAAATGTTCATCACTTAATTAAATTAAACCTACACTACCAAACGATACATTCACAATGGAAAATATTTATGAAGTGAGCAGTAATTATAGTTAAATGTATAAATAATTGTTTACTGATACATGATAATAATAAAAAAACTGCAGTTACCATGTTACATAATCGAGTTCAAATAAAATTAAATAGTTTGATACATTAAAAAACTACGCTAATGTAACCGAGAGTTTTCAGTTCATTCACTCATTTGATGTCAAGTTATAAAAAATATTGATTATAAGTACTAATCAATCACTCCGTCTGTTACATAATACAATAAAGCAAAGGTCGTTGTGTGTCTAGTTGAATAACATAATAACTATTTAGACTGAATAGAATATCCGATTATAGATCTAGAATTTTGCAAACGAGCGAATTTTCAAAAAATAGACGAACAGAATGTTTTTTTAAGCAAAGATGGATAGTGGTTAGCATTGGAATCCAGAACGCGATACTGAGTTCGAGTCCCAGAGTGAACATCAACTCTGAGATGCAGATACATCCAGCTGACGAGTCCCAAACAGGACGAAACGCGCGTCCTGGATTCCACTACTAGCCACTATCCATCTTTGCCTATAATGCTTGCAAATTAAGGCAATATCGAGGCATACGCATACACAATAAGAGACTGATCAATTTCAGTCCTAAAACATCAATGGGAAGATTCAAGTAAAACAATACCAAGTGAATTAGAATGTTTTTCTGTAAAAAATTTTTCAAAAGTTATTAATACAAGATGTTTACTGCATGCTTCATTGAGAGGATCACTAACTTTAAGGTGATAGTTATCTGAAGAAGCCAGATGGTAGTACCGAAAACAATGTCTTTCAATATTCAACCAAATAAATCTCTATGCATAAAATTATTGAAACATAAATAAACAGAAAACAACAACTAGATGTGAATGTTGAACTCCGTGACCGCTTGATACACTACTGCATTACAATCGAGTTTGTCATTCAGTCAAACACAACGTAGAACTTGGTACATGTGTGCATTGGTTCACGTCGTCAAACTACATCACTACAGCGGGTTAAAATTATTAAGACAAATCCCGGAAAAGTAGAAAAACTAAAAGTTCTAGTAGTAGAGGAGATTAAGTGTAGAAAGAAACATACATGAAGCTTTCGGGACTCAGAAACAAAAGAAAGGCAAGGAGTAAATGCACTTGCACTATTGCGAACGATTCTGAGTTATGTTACACAAAGTCTTAAATCATTGATTGCAGTTATCGTGTGGATCCCAACCAGGTAGTCTAGAACTACCTACATGACTTAGTCCAATTGTTATCGACTTCGCATGCTGGTTTAGCCACTCTTAGCTTTCTTCCGTCCTACTTCTACACCAGACAACATCGTTCTTCATGGTAGACGTTGGTTTAGCATACAGGAAACATGTCTTAACCATTTCAATTGGTGCACATTCACTAGCTAATCGACCAAATCTCCATTTTTTTTACCTAAAACCTTATCCCCAATTTTAGTACTGCTCACATGATGTCCCGAAATACACGAGCGACATTTTGAAGACACTTATGATTGAATATTAGTAATCTATGAAAATCCTCTTTTCCTGATGGGCGTGCTTAATAGGCATAAAGAAGAATGTAGCGAACTGCTGCACGATGAACTCGTCCTTCGGTCGGCAAACAGATATCTCATCTATCCCGTGCATAACGCACGTGGATTAAGGCCAACTACACTTTTTGGATCCATGTCGAAATTTCGTCGGACAGAACCCCAACAGACCTGATGGCACTTCTACAATAAGTGAAGAGGCCAATGCACTCACTTACCGCATCCTGACCTCGTATTACGAATTCTGTATGGTTGATATTCTTTTTTAAAGCGACATCGAACGATATTTGTTAAATTAGTTTAGCAATCAAAAGAAATACATGTTGATAGTAATTCCATGAGTTCTCAAACTCGGGAACAGATCTCTCGATAAAGGTTGACTTCACAACATTATACTGGTTACCATACATTGACTAATTATTGTAATATCTCACTATAACATACGTAAGCTTACCTAAATATCCATCAACACTTGGTGAAATTATAATATACAGTCAAGTAATACTTAGCAACACACATATTCATGATCCCCATACGTAAAGATACATTTTGATAATGAACCAGAACAAAGAACACTACCGATTTGTTTTAGCTACCTAAAACCCGAAAACAGCATGCATAATACCCAGTTATTTAGAACAGTGACTACGTTGAAACATGATCGATTCAACTCAATCAACGCAGAGGGATAAATATAACATGACATGGGTTATCACTCAGTGAATAATAAGTATCAATATTTCAGTCCTACAAAGGGTTGGTCCATCGCTTTCCAAATAACTTGAGGGTTACAATTTTGCCCACAATAAATGAGTCTTGATCACTTGACCTGCATAAATCCCCTCAAAGTTATAGATGTATTTTTCTCATTCGTGCCATCTAGAACAAAATCTAAGTACTGAGCTTCTTGTCGATTGTCTCTAAGCACTTAAAAGTATAGAAATGATGCTCTAATCAAATAAATTTTAGTGTTCAAATTCAATGATAAGTCATTATTATCATTACTACTATTTTCTACTTGTCCACCACTTAGATAATTAAAAACACCTTTTCTGTAACCGTCTCGTCAACAACAAATAAACTCACCATAAACAGATTTACTTTAATATGGACCTCCATCCACAATACAAAATACGAATGATTAAAGTTACCTTTTATACATTTTTCCAAAGCTGGCCGATCTTTATGTTGATCACTTGTAAATTTTTCAATATTCTTCAAACCATTCAATAAACATCTTGGTATCTAAAGATAAAAAATACAATATTACTTAATGGACTTGATGAACATAATTGGTATATAAGCAGAGTATTTAGAAGTTAACACTAACGAAAATATTCACATAATAAACATACCTCTGATGGTAGCGTAAGAAACAATGACAGGATAGGGACACCTGGTTCCATAGCTTGGTTCTGTAAAGTAAATTAAGTAGTAAATTAGAAGTAATAATGGTATGCATTATTATGTCATCCTAATACTGAGTTTGATTTAATTGAAAACTGATTCGAGTTGAAGTACGATTGAAAACTATGGAGCACAGGACACTAGCTTCTTCCTAATATGGAACACTTCAGTAATGTTGTGAGTAAAATAGTTGTAACCGATGGCATAGGATGACAGTCGAGCAGATTGTTTGAAGCTGCGATTACACAGTTCAAGGCTAACCTGGTATACTTAATAATTAGGCGTTCATCATGAGACCTGAAGGTCCTAGAATCGATTCCTGGAAGGGTTGCATGTGTGCATTGGTAAGACTTACACTAAGACTTAATAGCTGTCCAACACTCAATAGCTTTCAGCGGTGCCCCAAATCAGATCGATCTGTAGCGAATTTTAATCAATTGGTTTGTGGATATTTTGTTCAGTATGATCAAAGATTTCTAAATGAAATGGTAGTATTTGAAAAATTACTGAAATTAGGGATCATTAGACAACATAATACGGTATTTCATGAATTATAATTCATTTACCTAAGACATGTCAAGATCTTAAGTTCATTGCTCGTGAAGTAGCGGTGAACCATGCTGAAAATCTCCGAACTAAAATTAAAATACCCTTATAATTAAATTGGGAGATATGATTAATAGTACAAAATGTGTTTACACTTTAGAACCTGATATAAAGCTAAAATGTGATTATTGTGAAATGCTAATGCAGATTTCATGAATAACATACATAGTTCAGCAAAAATATTTCTTTCACATTTTTGACCTAGCTAATTGTAGGGTATTAATCCAAGATTATCAGCATTGAACACAAACAGACGTTTAAAAATGTAGTGACAATTAACGTCACAACAAATAAATTATTTCAACTAACCTTAAGAAACAATCTCAAATGTGGATATTCTTTTCTCAATTCATAAAAATATTTCAAACGATCTGGATAAACATTTGTATAATCTACACATTGATTCAACAAATTGTTCAGTGTTAATCCAACAATTGTCCCAGGATTATCTAAATGACCATGTATAGGTGGTATCGATGATGATGAATGTGGAGAAATTGGTCGACAAGACGATAAATTATGTAATGATTCCTTCATCTGATTTCCTTGTACTGTATTTTGATAATTAGGTGGTTCGCTTACGAAACTATTAGTAAAATTCTCTGATATAATTGATGCTCTAAAGTCAGTAGTATCATGGTCATTAGCTGGTTTGTTGTTTTCTCGATCGATTGGAGATGGTTGTTGTCCATTAACCGAACTTTTGCGTAGTTTAAACAGAAACGAAAATCGTTTATGTAAGCCACGTCCTCCACCAGTGATATTATTATTATTATGTTTCGTATATGAATCTATTTTAAAACTCTCTGATTGTGACGAACCTGACGAAGATAATGTAGGTTTCAAATTATTTTTATTATTTAACATACCAGCTTTGATAAACGGACTTGATGTTGGCGGTGATGTATGATTTGACACAGTATATGGAAGACAACCATTCTGTAGATTTTGTTTCAGTTTACATGTCTCAGAAGCGATCTAAAGTTTTGTTATTTGTTTTGAAAATGACACAAAAAAAATCATCATGATGAGTGCAAAAACTGACGAAAATGTAAGGATTGTGTAGGAAAAAAATAAATTTAAAGCTATTTGGCATTAGTACGATATTTTAGAATTAATATATTTGATGATGACGTGGTCACATGATGAGTTCCGAATAGGACATTCTGGATTCTTCTGCCAATCACTTATTACATATACTAAGATTTGTGACATAATGTTATACCGATGCAATTTGCTCAGGATGCACATACAAAGACAGAGAGTGATCAATTGTAGTCCTGAGTATTAACGGAATATTATAAGCTTTTACTGATACTTTAGGATGATTTTGTCTAGCGGTGGAATTTAGAATGTCAGTTTTTCGTTTAGAATTGTCTAGGTGAATAACCCTACATTCCAGTGGGCTTTGGTGTTTTTAATGAAATCCGAATACTGCACCGATTAGCTCAAATTCAAAAGAGTAATAAAACAGATTAGTGAGTCTGGATATTCTTGATAAAAACAATGGAATGCCAAACAGATCTGATCTAAGTGAAGACTAGTCAAAAGGAAGAATACATTTGTTGTATGGTTAAAATATGTTACGTATATCCAACAATCCCCTCCTCCCATACAGATTATGTTGTCTAGCTATGGAGATATTAGCATGTTAAGTTGAACTGAGTTGCGTGGGGAGGCAAAAACTCTCTGGTTTGGGTCGCAATTAATGTTTAGAGACTTTAAGGGACACAGCACAAAAGTGATTGCAGTAGGGCAAATTCATTCATTCTTCATCCTACTCTATATTACAACCATAATCATGATATCATACTTCTTGTTCCGTAATACATTTGGTTTCATGAGAACAACACTCCCTGAGTTTAGAGTTTAACCATCATCAATATACCCTTTATTTTAACTTATCTCATTTCAAACTTGTTGATTTTTTCTTATTTAGGTGATGTGAATTATGGTAACTCGAACCAATGCACATTTGTGCCATGTGCAATATTTTTCATGAATGACTAAATAAAAAGGATTTGACTGGAAATTTTGTATTTAGTTGTTTTTAAAAAGTGGCTACTAGCTTTGTAGAATGCTGAACATTTTGATTATGACAACATGACCAATTTGCGTATCAGTATAAATAAAGCTTTATTTAAGCTGGAGAGTAGTAAGAAAATTATGACAGTGTTTGTATATTTGTTAAATATCATAAAAACGCAAACTAGAAGAGCAGTCAAATGAACCCTAAGAGTATACTGACAATTTGAAATAAGTACCAAGGCTTTATCGTGACGACATTAATAGTTCAATTAGTCAATGGTCAAGCTAAAAATATGATATTAACCTAGTAGTAGACAGAGACTAACTGGTCGGTGACAACTGTGATCAGAGGCTAGAGACGTCGGGCGACATGACTTAGAATCCATTACAATGGTGCAGATGCGTTCACTTTTTATGTTATTTGAGAGCTTGAGTTCCAGTATTCCTTTATAAATACTTTTACTTTTTCGCTCCAAACTATATTCTTGATGTTTAGTCTTTTTCACTATCACTAGTAGAACACTGTTTCGATTGCTTCGCTATTAACCTTGCTATTTTAATCTAATTATGTTGATGTGGTATTGTGGTATATGCTAGTTATGTTGATAGTTATAAGTAGTATGTAGTACCAATCGGAAGTAGAATGCATGCCTGTAGAAGATTATGAAGATTCAATTGTAGAAAACAAAAAGGGAAACAAAAAGTAATCATAATAACAATGAAAAGGAAAGAACCATAAAACATATGAATGACAATTGATGGAAGATGTGCAAATTTGTATCTAATGTATGGTTTTCACATTTTACCAAAGCATTCTACAATGAATTGGTTATCGCCACCTGAGTGTTCTTGCACAACACAATGACAACTTGGACTAAAACACATCTTTTGCAGGCTCTGCGTTGACTGACTGGTTGAACGCAAGTTAATAGATGGGTATTATTCACTTAAATAAGTCACCATTATAAATTATACTTCAATGTCAAAAGTTATACAAAAAAATTCGCCAGAAACGTTATTATTATTATTAGTATCAGAAGGGGTTTTGTGGAAATTGTAGTAATTTCTATGGTTGAGATCATGAGTCGATTGAAGCTAGACCACCATGGGAAACCTGGAAGCACTGGAAGGCCGTTTCGTCCTGTTGTGGGACTCATCAGCGGTGAGCACCCACGACCCCGCATCGCGGGATTCGAACCCAGGACTTATTGGTCTCGTGCGCGAACGCTTAACCTCTAGACCACTGGGCCGGCCGAGATCCAACGATGCTAATGTCTAACTTCAACTAATCCATGATATTGAGCGACATATCCACCATTGTTTTCAGTGAGTTACTATCTCACAACTGATCCGGTTGCACTCCACTGGTCATTCACTGATGACAATGATGGGTGTGTCGCTCAATTTCGTGGATTGGTTGAAGTCTGATCAGTGGCCTAGTGGACAAGCGCTCGCTCGTGAGACTGATATGTCCTGGGTTCGAATCCCGTGATGCGGGGTCGTGGATGCGTACTGCTGGGGAGTCCCTCAATAGGACGAAACGACCGTCCAGTGCTTCCAGGTTTTCCATGGTGGTCTCGCTTTACTTGACTCATGATCTCAACTATAGAGATTCAGTATTAAGCTAAACTTCAAAGATCAACAAAGTTTTTGACCTCATCATTCATTACAATTTATCATAATAATAACACTCAATATGAGCATGTCAAACTTAAAATCATTAAATTATCAGAAATAAATTTTATTATCACTTAAAACTACAGAAAAACAGTTAATGATTTAAGAAAATTAATCATATTATGCTTTCACACATTTTCAATCCTTAATTGATATTGTAAAATATTAATGATGAAGTTGTTATACATCAATATTTTAACATACAGTATTGCATATAATTACTAATGTTATTATTAGAGTCATGATCTATACGTGATATGAATGTAATTAGATTGGTTGAATGCATGAACACGAATAACTCTAGATCATCAGAGTTTTCACAAATAGAAAACAGAAGTGATTTAATGAATCTATATGTGATTTTCAACTGAAGGATTTTCACTTTGAATCCTACTTTATTCATCAATTCGGTTTGAATTAATTGAAGAAGTATTGATGGGACTATAATTTATGGATGACACTTGAGTGACGATAAAGTAATATTGAGAATGCTCACCTACTTACTACGGCTAAATGAGGGTTATAAACCAATGTGAGGAATTAGGATTATGATTTATGGTTGATGGTTAAGGTTAGTAATTAGATTTAGGGTTTTTATCATGAGATGATATCAGTTAAAATGCCGAAATTCTATTTACCTAAATACATGAATACATTTCGCGTCAAAATCCAAGACTTGTTATACTAAATCTGATTCGTTCGTTCATAAATTATAGTCTCGCCGAAGTATTACTATCAGTCCTTATACAAATAATAAAAATGTAAGATTAGCTCATAAATATGAAGCCAAGGAAATGAATTACATATCGTTACAGAAGATTACATTCAGTAATGGACTGATGGTAAATGAAATATCTGAGGGTTCACAAAATAATTAATTGTTAGCATCAATCAGCAGATATTATACCCAGAAGTTCCAAAAAAAATTCCCACTAGTATGTCAAGAAACAGATGTATAAAAAGAATGAACAATCATTTGACAGGTTATCTGCTATGAGAGTTGAAGTCAGTCAGTTATTAATAAGTAACATAGAACCTGGCACATACACATTGGTTCAAGTCGTCACACTATAATAGCACAGAGAGACAAAAGTATCAAGACAAGTGAAGAAGAGTAAAATTAGTAATAATATCACTGTTGGTAAAAAAATAGACATTGTCAATCCATTTTAATTGTGTGAGGGATATGATACTGCCCTGGTGCCCAGACCGAAACAGGTGGTTTTCTTAGGAGGCCAAACCCCGAGCCTTTGACCTAAAGGTCTAACCCAGAAGGCAGTGGAACATCGTGAGGAGATGCATTCTCATGGTAGCCGGTTCATACGCCGTTTATTCCTTTAGGATACTGGAGCCCGTATGGACCAGTGGTTTGAAGTCAGAATTTCCAACTCCCCTAGGAGGACTCGCCGTGTCAACCGGCCCGGTTGGAGCACCGGACATTCGCTTTTCATCCTCTCAATTTCGTAAACAACGTCTCCGTCACGAGAAGGCAGTGAGTAGAACTTCCCCGGCAGAGGCTGTGTACGCGTGGCCGTGTGAGAGCATTTCGAGAGGGAGGGCGAGCCCTCCCCACTCTCAGCCGTACCAGGGCATTTGAGTGCCCCCTTGTACCAATATTTATGTGTTCAAATAAATAAATAGTAAAACAACTTCAGACATGGATTGTGTGAATCGAGAAGGAAAAATGAATAAATAGAAAAAGGAAGAGATCATTTTAAAACACAGGATTTGAAAGAAGATCAAGAGTGAATAGATCAGCCTCACTGCGATGAATTCTGAGACTTGTCACTGAACATCTGCAATCAGATGTTACGATAATCCTACAAATCACAACCAGACAGTTTGCACCGATAAACATGGTAGAAGTATAGGATCGCTAGTAATAAATTATTTGCCATCTAATAAATTATATCATTTTGTTCGGATATTTTATACAAAAATGATGGCTTTAATTATCTAGTACATAGTTGGTCAGCTAGCAAGTCGAGATGTTTTATAACATCCCTACAGCTCTGGATTTAAAAAAATAACTGCCATGAGTAAATTATCACTCAAACAACTATTGTTTTAGTATTTTAGTAAACAACCACAATTTCATAACACCTCATTTTATGTTATGGCTCAACAACACATAAGTTAAATATAAGAGGATAATCCTATGAAGGTTTTCTTCATCTCAACGGTCAAGCTAGGGTCCCAGAGATAACAGAACTCAGTAGCTGGAAACATGACTCAGAATAGAAGCCAATGGCGCTTCTACTGTAGATTTTACATTTTTGACAAAAGTGAAAACCACGATAACATAAAGTTTTCTTGGTAATATTTTTTTAATAAACTGTATCTCTGTTACACACCATTCTCATCTACCTAATATTTTCGATTGTACTTCGCATTTCTCCCTTATTTCTTTAAACTATTATCCATTTATTTTGTGTGGCACATAACTTTTGGTGTCATACAAATTTTATGTAAATTCGATGAACAAATATAATGCATAAGATTACACAAGATATCACATAACACAATGCAATGACCATATCATATCAACTGAAGAAATCAGTCTATGTTGCACCACTGACTCAGAACTTAGTGATTAAACTACTCAACTTATAGTTGTATATTTTTTCTTATACGCACCACGTATTTGGGTTTCGATAATCGGATAGTGACGCTATGTCTTGAACAAATAATCCGGCTCATAAACGAGTATATAAACCCTTAATTCGTGAATGAACCGCATCTAACCTCAATGGGCAACGTCTTCTGGTCTAGGAGTAAGCTGGAAAAGAGCTAGAGCTGGCAAACCCAAGATGTGCGATCACTCAGTGAAGCCACTGACTACTGGGTTGTGTAGTGTTGATAGGCATCGACTACGAAGTTAGCGTCTGTGTGATTATAGTGACCAGTGATTGAAGATGTTGAGTGCTATAGCTCAGATCCATTCGATCTCTATCTTAAAATATTTACACTTATCCTGTATATTCTTTTTTTCACCTTCTCAAATCGTATACTTAATCTTTTCTACTGACGCCGATACAGTTACTACTCCAACACTTTGACATTTCTCTCCAAAATTTTATCTAGCTATATTGATATGGTATGACTAATTGAATTGATGCACATATGTATCGTAAACTCCATGTACCTCATGACTAACTGACTGATTTCATAAATGAGTTACAGTCGTTTATGCTATTTCATAAGACCAACATATATATATTGAAATAAGAAAACTAACCTCAACAATATTATAAAATAATGAATTTAAATCATTTGGATGTAAATTAGCAATTTTTTGTAAACCAGTACGATAAGCATTAATTCCATAAGTTAAATTATTCGATATATTTATCAACTTAATAATTAATGCTTCAATTGCCCATTGTCTATTGGCTTCATCTAAGCATACATCTTCCCATTTAAGATTTAATATAGGTGGTGCTAAAGTTAATATACGTGTACGTCGAGTTATACTTCCATTTCCATTCTTCTTATTATTATTTTCATTATCATTATGTAAAATACTTTCATCAATACAACATTCTTCGCATAACATCACTGAGCCAGAAGTAGTCGTAACTGTTTGAGGAAGGCATGAATTATTAATATTGGATGAAATGCAGGAATCTGTTATGGAGTGCCTAGCTATGGTAGTAGTAACAGTATTGATACAATTATCAGAACGTAAATTATATGAAAAATCATTATGTTGGGAGAAGTGTTCATCATTATGATTGTTGTTGATTCCTGTATATGTAGTGCTGTTTTTTGTTTGAATTTGTAGATCAGATGAACTTAAAGAGTTTAACTCTTCATTTGAGATTTGCCTTGACAGATTGTAAGCTAAAATGAAAGGAATTTATACATATTTATTAACTTCAAGAAAGCTAAATCGCGTACATTTAAGAGATTGACTACATTTTTACACTAAGTGAAAATAAATTTCACAAAACACTAATTTCTATAGAAAAAACTATATCAAGAAGGGTGGTTGTTGAATGACAAGACTACTATTGAGCGCTGCTAAAAAGTGAAATCGATGACGTATCGTTCTGGAAAACCAGCAGTCAAAATGTGGTGTCTTCTTACTTCACTAGAGAAATATAGAGTTCGGTATTTTAGAAAGATGGGAACAACATGAATGCAGATTTTCAAGTGAAATATGTGAAGTTCGAACCCACAACATGCAAACTGAAGGTTGAATGTTCTAACCACTAATCCAACAATCAAAATAACTCTATCACGAGGAGACTTGAGCCTGAACTCCTCAGATTTGAAGGCAGACGTCCTCTCTACTACACCATGAAACTCAATTGTAACAACAATAAGTAGACGTTTCATATAGTTTAAAGTTCTTATCTAGATAAATCATCGAAATAGCTGTCAAGTAACACAAGCAGACTAGTGTCATGAATACAGCCGTCAGATTCAGACTCTTTTCGATAAACTTTAAAGAGGTATCACTTTCGTTGTAGGTCACTATGAATTAGTTTATCACTTTCAGCGTGAGAATTCCTGATGGCCATTAGAAAACCATCTGTACTTCTTCATTCTTGCTTCATTTCTTACTTCACTTCAATCAATTAGTTGCTCTTCTGCTCCTGTCTTTTTAAGTCGAAACGTCTTTAAATTTGAAACTAAAATTATCATCTGTAAACTTTGGTTCTAGAATCACAAAAGGTTCAACCAAATCTATACAGAAAATTACAGTGTGATACCGTTACTGAAGAAAAATACACTTAAAACTCGTGTACCAACGAAGCAATGATAAATGTAGCTAGCAAAAAGCCACATTGAAATGAGCTATTTAGGAATCGCAATTATTTTGTACAGGAGATGTTCTAATAAGTCAGAAATTTTACATTCTACTTAAATGAAAAATATAATTGTGATCTTTAAGAGGATTTAATTGATTTCATGTTAGGAGTATATATAAAGAACATTTGTTTACTGACAAATTTGACCAACTACTAAGCATAATCTAAATAATAAGTAGGAGATATGTTGAAGAGCACATTCTATTGCTTAAAATTTGACTTCGTTTTCTAAAGAAAAATGCCGAGGGTGGGAAGAGTCAGCTCTCCCACTCGAAATGCTCTCACATAGCCACGAATAAAAAGCCAATGTCAGGGAAGTCCTACTCACTACCTTTTCATGGTGGGAGTGTTATTTACGAAATTGAGAGGATGAAAAGCGAATGTCCGGCGCTTTAATCGGGTTGGTGGATACGGAGAATTCACCTAGGGAAGTTGGAGATTCTGACTCCAAACCACTGGTGCATATGGGCTCCAGGATCCTGAAGGAACAAATGGCATATGAACCTATTGCTCGCTACAGGTCATCGTTGGACTGTATCTCCTAATGTTGTTCCACTGCCTTATGGATTAGACCTCTAGGTCAAGGGCTACAAGTTTGGCCCTCTAAGAAAACCACGTATTTCGGTTTGGGCACCCGGGCAGCATCACCGCCGTCACACACATCAATGATAACAACTACTGGCCTCTTTGTTATTGTGTGATGCATAAGTATTTGGTACCCCCTTGTACCAATCTTTATGTGTACAAATAAATAAATAAAAAGAGACATAAGCTATTGGTTGAAAATGTGGTCTTATTTACTGAGAGAAAACGTATAAATTTATAGATGAATTGTACGTATATTCTCCATGTGATCAGGCAACAAAAGCAATATAGTCACTCTAGATTTTCTCACTCAATTAGCTGGTTTAGGCACGTATATAAGAAGCGTATATATGAGTAGGACACTTAAACGACCGCTGTACAGCATAACATATATACAACATAATTTACAAATATAACTCACATTTTAATTCTCGACTAGAATCAGGCAAACAAATATTTAAAATTAATGCTTTATTTGGATGACTTTCTGCAGATTTAGACATACACTCAACAACATCTTTGAGTGTCAATGTACAATTCAATGGAGTATTTCCAATTCCTAAAAGATAAGCTCCAACAGGTAGTCCAACTTGATCAGCCGGTGAATCTTTTTGTACTGAATGAATACGAAAGCATCTGTGAGTAGGCAAATAATTATATTGCTCAATATTTGATGAATCTTTATGACTAGACAAAGTAATGGGAGTACTAGCAAATTGTTGAAAATCAAATTTGACCATCTGACATGTTAGGGTAAAACCGTAACCTGATTCCGATTTGGGAATTGTGATCTGTAGAAAGTAGGACATTGTTAGGTACTTAAATAAAATATAATCTCAGTTTGCAAGCGGATAAAATGAATTCAAATGTCGATAACAGAATTCTTATGAAACAAAAAATGAACGATCATGATAAGAAATAAACATAACTGAAATAAACTAGAGATAAGAAAAACATTTTTTCTTAGTACATGGAGTTATGTAGATTTTTCACTTTTACCTCAAAGTTTGGTTTTAGTTTGATAACCAATGAGAATCAAGAAGGACTGGACGGTTACTTCGTCCTAGTATGGGATGCCTAAACAGGGATTAAACACAAGACCTTCATATCATGAACTTTCTTATACTACATTATATACATTATACTACATTAAATTTACGGGTGAAAAGTGGATATCACAAAAAATCACACGTATGCAGTCAGCGTTTTAAAATCACTGCACACTTACGGACAAAATTCTTGTTCAAATATAAAACACTATGATGAATCACTAATAACCCAGCAGTTTATAAATTTACGGATAATGAGTTACATGCGTTCATGTCACTGTACTACTTACTCCTCTTACCCCTTATAGAGAAGAATAAGTCGCTCCCCAGCATTCTCCATCGAATTTTATCCTGGGCCATCCTTTCCAGTTGCTACTCATCCTTTTGATGTCCGCCTTCAATTCTGGACGCAATGTGTTCTTTGGCTTTACCTTTTTTCGTTTCCCTTCAGGATTTCATGTTAGGGCTTGTCTTATGATGCAGTTTGATGATTTCCTCAATGTGTATCCTATCCAGTTTCAACATCTTTCTCTAATTTCTTCCTCATATGGAAACTGGTTTGTTCTCTTCCACAGAAGGCTCTTGCTGACGGTGTCCGGTCGACAGACATTTAGTATCTTGTGTAAACAATTGTGACGGTGATGGTAGTTCTCCAATTTTCAACTCTGTAGAGTAGGACTGCCTGGCCGTTCGTACTGAATATTCTCACTTTGATAGTGGTTGACAGCTGTCTTGAATTCCATATGTTCTTCAACTGTAGGGATTTTGTCCATACTTTGCCAATCATAGCCCTTACTTCTGCATCAGATCCTCCTTATTTATCGATGATGCTACCCAGATACATGAGTGCTTTCACCTATTCCAGAGTTTTTTTTCCGTCAAGCGTGATAGGGTTGGTGTTCTCCGTGTTGTATTTGAGGATCTTGATTTTTCCTTTGTATATGTTGAGCCCTATTGATGCAGGGGCTTTTGCTAAACTGTCTGACTTGACCTACATTTGTTGATATGCGAAGTTCATATCATCTAGTTGCAAACAACCTGTTCATTTTATCCCGTGCTTCCCATCAGATGTCATGGTCTTCATAATCCAATCAACCACCGGAAGAAAGAGAAAGGGGGATAGTAAGCAGCCTTGTCTGACTCAGGCCCTAACTACGAATTCATCTGTCATCTGTCCTGTCCTCCATGCACCACATTGCAGTGTAGTCCATTGTAACAATTTCGGATGATGTTGACGATTTCCTCAACAACTCACACCATAGTGTTGAAGAAGTTTACAGAAAGTTCCACTTTTAGCGGATTCTCTATTCACTGCAAGATATATGTTTTAAATAAAGTCACATTAATTGTAACTTGGGCATATGAGGATTCAACATTATTTCGTGCGGGAGGATAAAGTCATAAAATTTAAAGTCAAGATCCAAAACTTCGAGTCTTAAAATAAGGGAGGTGATATGACGGGGTGAAAAGTTAAAATTACATTGAACTACTCATTATGATTTTTGTTCAACATTAATTCCACTTTAATTCAATGTGATAATTACTCAGTGTTTTGTTTTTCCGTATGATATTTTATTTTGTATAACATACGATATTCATGTATTCAATTAACGTGAACTATGCTCAATATGTGATTTGTTATAACTAAGTGTATTTCATATATGTGATTACGATTCAAAATGGGTGTACGAATCAGTATATAAATGAGTGTATGTTTGACTAGAGTCGTCGTGTTTTGGGGGTTAATAAATCACTTGTATTAGTCTTTGAGTACATACTTTCGCACTGTGTGGATTGCAGTGATTCCTCGCTTTACAAGTATAAGTGATAAGCGTTTCCGATATAACAATCAGAGACGTCCAGATATAACCATTGGTGACGCATTTATAACAATCGACCACCTGACATAACACTTTTATGTCCTTGACAGGGTCTTTCTGGTTTATCAAATTTCCCTGCTAGTTTCTTCGTTGTGTCACATAGCTATCTCATATTTCCTTCTCTTACAACTTTTTCCACCGTTGTTTCTAGCTCTTCCACGTATTTCTACTTGTCGGCTCTAATGCTCCTATTCACTTGCTTGTTTGCTTCTGCATATTCAGCTTGTGCTTTGACTTTCAGTGTTCTTGTTCGGTTGTTGTTAATTTCCGCTTTCTTGTTCTTCTTTTCTTGAATCTTTTCCAGGGTTTAGATGGAGATCCATTTCTTATGATGATGTTTCTTGCGGCCCAGCACCTCCTGATACGTTGACGCCAGTGCTTCTTTGGTCCCTTTCCAGTTGTACGCCATAGTAATTTCTTCTTTCTGTAAATCCCGTAGGGCTTGGAAGTTGTTGAAAGTTATCTTGAATTGGTTAAGTTTATCAGTATCTCGAAGGACAGCTGTGCTGGACATTTTGAATGCTGTTTACCCAGTTGTCAAGTACTTCTTTAGCTTTAATTTCACCTTGGCAACCACCAGGTAGTGATCTGAGACCATGCCAACTGTTCTCCTAATTCTCACGTCTTCAATTGATCTTGCAGCTTTTTTTAGTGATGCAAATATGATTGATCTAGTTCTCTGTAGTGTGATCCGGTGCGACCCATGTTTTGTGGGGGAATATAGTGCCGCTTGTAACCAATTTGTTGAATGCACATAGATTTGCAAACCTCCCCCATCTTTATTTCTTTCTCCCAGTCAGTCCATGTCGTCCAAGGATATCCTCATACCCCTTGTTGTCCATCTCGACTTTGGCGTTTAGGTCTCTCATCAGGATGATCTGGTCCTTTCCTGAGCATTTTGCTATGATCGGTTGCAGCATCTCGGAAAACTGATCTTATCGTCAGCATTGTTATCATTAGTGGGTGCATAACACTGGATAACATTCAGTGTGGTTCCCTTCTTCTTTGTTCTATTGATGTTTAGATGATTCTGGGTCTATGAGATTCCCATCTTACAAGTACTTTATGTGCTTCTTTGGACAGCATCAGAGCAACTCCCTGAGTGTGTGGAGCATTTTCCTCTTCGTGACAGGAGTACAACAGCGTCTCTCCCGTATCTAGCCTCTGCTGTCCAGATTCGTCCCAGTGGTGTTCACTGATTGCAAGGACCGCCAAGTTGTATCTTCTCATTTCCGTTGCTATTTGACTGGTCCTTCCTGTCTCCCACACTGTCCGGACGTTCCATTTACCTATAAAAATTGTTGCTCTGTTTGTTAGAAGTGGTTTCATCCTCCTGACTTCCGAAGAATCTCAGCTATCATCATGAGGCGTCATAATTCTTCCTTCAACTCCCGGGGCAGAGTTTTAATGCTTTGAGTTGTTTAACCTGGTTGGCTATTTTTAGCAAGGTCGTTGTCTACGGGATGGGGTTGTCGACTCCACATGCAACCCTCCTCGGTTACCCGGGCTTGGGACCGGCAGTAGCCCTAAAAGAGCTACAGGCGGAGTTTCATGCCTCTGTATACAATATCCTTCAACACCCTTTGAAGGATTAATCAAGTACTCTCTTCAGAATTTATATCGACTAGCTTGTTTTATCTAATTCCTTAATTTTGGTGATAATAAAATTAGTTTAAAACCTTAATGGGAATCGTTCAAATATACTACCCTAACTAAACCACTACAATGACGCTAACAACAAGATTGTATACTTTTATATATTTATTTCGTTTACAAATAAAATAAACACTTACCTTCTTTCTGGTGAAACCTGGTAATGATGGTAAATTTCGGTTCTCATTTAAATTTAAAGAAGATAATGTAGAGAAACTTTCAGATTTGACCATCACATTAGTGATTGTAGATGGTATTGAATTAGATCCCGATTTAAATGATCCTATAGATGAGATTTCTTCTTGTGTATCCAATTTAGAGAAACGTGGTATTGTACCTACGGACATATGACGACAATAACTAGAATTTTGTCCCAATAAGTAATACCATTGTGATTTAGAAAAATCTTGACTAATTACTTCTAATGAAGGTAAACTAACTGAAAAATGTTCAGATGTGTAACATTTTAAATTGGCTTTTTGTAAATCTAAATCTTGTGATATTGATTCTCTGAACAAATTCATAGAGTTATTGTCTTCTGAATCAGTTAATAGTTTCAATGATTTTTGTTTTAATCTTCGAATATTAAATGACATACCTCCAAGGAAAATTGCATTTTCATAACCAAATCTATATAGAAGAAAATATAATTATAAAATAGATCCGTATATTTTACAATGACAAATTATATAATGTAATTAAAAATAAATCGACTTATAAATTATATGAATTTCTAAAGTCAAGGTTATTAACAATTATTGGCTAAACTTATAACTTGGTTAAGAATTGGACAATACGAGAACATTTAAGTGTACTCACAGTCGATTTGATAGAAAACACGTCAAATGTGTAACACAGTGTATATATATACATACATATAAACATACATTAAACTTACGCAACTATGTTATGTCAGCATTTACTAACACTAACAGTAGAAATTAGGTTTTACATTGGTACATAAAATAAAATTGAGTAGGTCGCTGTAACGGAGGAAAGTGTAAATTCAAATCTTAAATCACTCAGTGACTCATCATCTGTAACCAGAATGAATATATGGTTATAACCAGCATTATATACATAGACCAATGTGTAATGAAGTTTAAACTTTGGTGATTCTGTTTCGATAAATTGGCAGTTATAATTATCAAACACAATGAAAAAATAATTTCATTCATAGACTTGGTCTAGTTGAAAGGACGATTGAAAATGCTGGAAGATAACTGAACAGAAATTTCATCATAGTCTAGGACTTCATAACAGTGAGCAAACATTAACAGCCTCAAAACAAGATGAAGTCTCAAAATCGTCAAATCTCGTCGTGATGAGTACGATATAATTATATTATCAGTTTTCCTAGGGGTTGTGGAGATTGTTAAGTTTTTGACTGAAACCATGAGTCAATTGAAGCTAGACCACTATTGATTGGTTGAGGTTAGACATTAACACTACTGGATGCCGGCTGTGGTCTAGGTGGTTAGGCGCCTGGCGCAAGATTGGTAGGCCCTGGGTTCGAATCTCGCGGAATGCAGGATCGTGGATGCTCACTGCTGAGGAGTTCCATACTATAACGGGACGACCGTCCAGGGCTTCCATGTTTTCCATGGTGATCTAGCTTCAATTGACTCATAATTTCAATCAAAAACAATATTTATATTACATAAATTAAATTAGTATCACACTAGTTTCATATAAAAAAAGACTATAGAATTCATTTTTAATAAATAATCAACATAGCTGTTAACCAATTTTATTCCACAAACTGTAATCATCAACAAGTCAACTATTTTCATACACAAATTTAACCGATTCGGACACCAAACATAAACAAAGTCAGTAAAAAGGATGATGGTGATGAAGAAAGTAGAAGTGAGTAGACTTTATTTGTAAAACAACTAGAACTGGTGATCAATGACTGAGAAAAAAATCAATGTGAAATGAAATTAAACATTTCCATCAACCCATTGAATCAAATACTTTGCCTAATACATGATCGGTCATCCTGTCTCGATGTATGCTACTTACTAGTGTAAAAGTTGGGAGGAATTTTAGGATGGTTCAAACCGGAACATAAATGACATCAGTCCATAAAATTATTGATCATTGAATTGAGTCATGTTTATAGGTGTAGAGTATCAGGTTGTGATCCTCACAATCGTCGTAACATTGTTGGTGACATAACTTAGAAACCGTACAGATACACTTTTGGTCTTTTCTCAAATCTCGGGTTCAAAGTTAGTTTGTGCTTTTTTGATAAGTTTATTGTTTCTTTTCTGTTCATATCTGGTATGACTAAAATTTTTTACTACCACCGACACTTATTAATCCTATCACTCTGGGATTTATTTTGATAATTTTCCTTCTGCCTAAGTAGGACGTGGTGACTTGAACCGAAGCATATATGTATCATATTCTAGGATTCTCATTACTGACCAACTGACTGAAAATGTATAAAGACTTAAAAGTTGACAACTGAACCATCTAAAGATCGTTGTAGCATACAAATTAATAAAAACGTTACAAAACGTTTGATAAAAACCAAAGGACTTAGTGGCTAAAAAGAATAAATGAAATATACTCTTCATTATTGATCGCAGCGATTGACAGACTAGATATCTAGGAAGATGTTCGTATTAATGGCTTATATGTATTTACGAACTCTGATTCTAATCCTGCATTAGCTCTCAACACAAAAGTTGACTATACATTAACCATGAACTCAGTTGGTGAATTATGTTAGGTAAAATTTTATTGAATTTACTACATAGATTTACAATAAAAAATTTATAATGAACTATATTTGATAATCAGAAGCTAAGTGGTTGATGCGATAGCGTTTGAAGCAAACAGTACTGGATTTGAGTCTCCGAGTGAACATCAACTGTGGGATGAAGGTACATCCAACTAACAAGTCCCAAAAAGGAAGGAACACGAGTCCTGGATTCTACCTATTAGTGACCATTCATCTCTGCTTATAATCACAGCTATTGTCCCGAACTTAATGTACAATTACTGACACATGTAAACTTTTAAAAGATCTTCCTCTTTAAAATGGTAGTATTTAGATAAAATAGACACTAGTTGACAAACAGAAATGAATCTAACTCATTTTAGAATAATGTATATCAATAATGTTCTGTTATATTTCGTTAGGATAAACAAAAACATATGAAATATACTATAGAACTTACTTGGACTGATTTAAGTATAACTCAATATATAATCGGTCATTATGAGATATATGAGAAATTTCACTATAAAGAAAAGTATAAAATATATTACTCGAATATATAGAAAGGATTATACCTTGAATAAACAGATTAACATACGAAATAATCCGCTTACCAAGTATAAAGTCAATAATGAGTAGTCGCTGGAAAACAAATCCAATCCATCTCGATGCTAAACTTAATAATTATTTATTATTATTAATGGCTTTATTCAATATCATATTTCTGATACAATATAGGATTCTCAACATAGGGTATTTCAACAAGATTCTTATACAAAAAAAAGTGAAAACCAAGGTACGACTGATAACTGCTGTTTTGTGTGGCGCATATATATCTGATGCCCCCTTGTACCAATATTTATGTGTTCACATAAATAAATAAATAAAGTTAAATAGATAAACTATATGGAGTTAAATGAAATGTTTTTAATGAGATAAGAATCTACATAGCTTTTAACTAGCAACATATTTGAGAATACAAGTTTTTGACTAGGTCAATTCTTATAACCAGTCAGTCAGTCAGCTACAATATAGGACCAGGCACATATATGCATCGGTCTAAGTTGCCACACCTCATTAGCATAACAAGATGAACACCGAACTCATAAAAGTAGTTAATTCAACAGTGGTAATATATAAAAGAAAGATTGCATATAAGGGTATAGTACAGGGAGAAATAATTAATTCGTCACGCAGCATAGTCTCTAAATAAAGTACTGTAGAGCTTTTATACCATTGCTCGAGTGCATGGGTTGTAATGCACTGACGTCTCGTTCTACCAGAAGATACACAAGGAGAAAGATATTAAATGGATGGTTACTATCTGTTAAGGAGTTTGCAAAGTTTTAGATGTCTATCCACAACCATATTAATAATGACCACAAAACATTCAACACACAACCTGCTAACTGCCTAAGTTAGGCACTATGCCGATTTTTGGCGGTTTGATGTAGTCAATAGCAAAATTTGAACCTAGGTTTCGCGCTAGTTGGCACTTGTCAATAAAATGTATCTTCAATCTTGTGGGATAAGTATTTGTTTCACCCAGTTTTCCCAGTCTGAGACATTACTGCTGAGTTATCCGGGTAGGGACTAACTTACCGTAGGACTTAAGAATTTACAATCTATGATCATTGGGTAGTGGACTATGATAATATTTACCTAGTCCTTTTATTACTCCTCGAATCCTACTGAACAATTTATAACGGGTCCACTAATCCAAGTGGATCAATATGGCATGCAACTTGATGATTTATTAACTGAGTCAACAATTTTATTACGTCTCTCTCCAAAGTTTAAATAAAGCTTGAACACTGACTGCTGTAACGTATTATAGTAATACATAAGCAAAAAAATAACGCAAAATTTTAAAGTATCTTAAACAGTCGTATGACTTACAACGAGAATTTTTCGTTAAATACCGGTGCAGTGCAATCGGGGACAGATTTAGTTCGAAGTTGATAAGTATTTGTGTTAGGTGAGTACTTTGGTGCTATTCGAACCTAAAAAGATTTGAAATCACACATTTTAGTCTTACCAAGAATTTTACTAAACAACTTATTTAATGAAAACACTATGATTAAACTTAATCATAACTACCTCGATATGGTGGTCAGGTTGTCTACCACACAAGCTCAATCAAGTTATATTGGTCGGAAAAGTCGTTTCTTGAAGTCCATTGTTTCTAATGTATTAGAATATAAGATATAATAACTCCAAACATTGATCTTGCTTCCTGATTTGACCGCTGAAAAATGTATTTTGACGGATTCTCATGGAAAAAATAATACCTAACTTCAATACTTCTATGTGGTCGTGGAAGATATGGATATTTCTGTGACATCTGTCTGTCGTGCGACAACTGTATGAATATGATTTACATCTTCCACTATCCTAAAGATTGAATATCATACCGAAAACAAGTATTACAAGACTGACGAACGACATATTTATACATTATACCATAGAATTATTTTTTAAAGATATAAAACATGGAAATCGAAACAGTACTATTGTAGTTGACGAGAACACAGGCGGGGATAACCAAATGTATATTAATACAACATTACAGAATATCTTGGTAAAATCCTCTCTCTCTGTTCTCTTTCCTCTCTTTGATTTTCTCAAACTTCTGCAGCCAGGCATTCTACTTTTGATTAGTGGTACGCACTACTTATATCTGTCGATATCAGTAACACACACCACACGACTGTTACATATGAATATGGATTTAAAAGTCTACAACTCACTTCTACAAACATAGTGTAACCTTCATCCACAGGTACTTGAAGATAACGAGCTCTAATAACTAGAAAAATAAGCCAAAGTAATTACGGCGTTAATGAAAAGTTATATTTTAAAGATATACAACGATCACAGTGGTAATAATAATGATAAAGAGAATACATTGTTTATAGAAACCAAGGATGTCATTAGGTTAAATACTCGGTTCGTCGAAGTTGTTATCCTAGAGTAATGAAATCAACCAAACTTTCTTGTGAAGATTGCAGAATTTTTATAGTTTAATTTACGAACTGATCTTAGTTAGACCACCATTGAAAACTTGAAAGCACTAGACGGCCATTTCGTCTTAGCATGGGACCCCTCAGAAGTGTACCTGCAAGACCCCCGCGTTAGGGACTTCAGCTCGGGACCTCCAATTTCATGCGCGAATGCCCAACCTCAAGATAAATGATCCGGTGTTAATGTCTGACTAAAGACAACCTAATCATGACATAATAATAAATTTCTTCTATTGGAACAGGTTTATACTGTGGGTGATAAATAATATCAGAAGCGACAATGGAAGTATGCTAAATAAAAATTCAATAGAGATAGTAGTGCAGTTATCCTGATCCCAAGTTGCAAATCAATACACCCATAAGTAGCGAAACTCCACTGGATCCATAAACAAATGTGACCATTAAATATCGATTAAATCGGAACTTAATTTGGGTACCTATATGTAAATATCAAAGAGATAATTTAAATAAATAAGTGATTTGCATAAATTTTACATGACTTTTAGCCTAGCGATGAATCTAAACCCCCAATAAATCATCCATCAACCCCTTTAATTTTCAAATATAACCAGATTCCTAAATTGATCTATACAATGGTTGTCATCAATTTGGAATCATACAGAGTTGGAATAATAATCACACTGTGATTGGTAAGGTTTTAAACTATTTTTTGGTAGGTACATAAGTGGATTTGTGACAGATGTTTTTTCCCAAGCAAATATACTTTGAAAAATTTATAGACAATCAAAATTACTACTTGACCTTTGTCTTTATACTACCTAAGGGAATATCACTTGTTGCTTAAATCCACTTGAAATGAATCAACAAAAGTATAGGGTTTCAGTGAATGTGAAAACCTTTCCAACTTGTAAATCGAAGTTAAACTACCAAACCTGAGAAATACAAGGACTTTGGTGAGCACTTCGTTTCACTATAGGAGACCTCAGTCGTAGAATCAAATTGAAAAGCTATATATTAACAATGAAACTCAGACATATCTAATATCTAGCAGGAAGATTGATCTTTAAAACCACACAATGGACATCAACAAAGCGAGGAAATTAAAGGAATGAAGACAATAAAGCAGAAATAAAAAGCTTACAAAAGTGTGGGGAATAAAATAGGCAAAGTTTGAAAATGATATGTATACAACAATTAAATGTTCAAGATTTAAACGAGAGCAAAAAGTAAATATATCTATACAGTGGACAATATCACCTGATGAGTTCTATTTCATCCATCTCACAGGTACAAAACCAGGAGGTATTAAGTTTAATGCGTAGTTCAGGCTAATAGCTAAACGTTTTGACTTGCATCAGTACCTCGACGTGAACATTATCATATTGATTCTATACAACTCATACAGCAGATGGATATATATCCATACTGATTGACAGTGGATCCTCAATCCTAATCACGGTAAAAATCATGATTTGTTTCGCTTAGTTACTTAGATGAAATCAAATATCACTGTAGAACCACAAAAAAATTTATTGGGGTTACCGTCCTAATAACCATCACAAACCAATTAAAAAAACTTGAGGTAAGACACTGTTGGATGGTGTCAAAATATCATGGTAGACGGGTGGCTTGCTGGTAAAAATGTTCGACTTTCAACCACTAAGTCCAAGGATCGAGTTCCGACCCATCTAATTCAAATTGGGCAACTGGACAGTTTCATTACCCCTGGTACGTAGAATGTGGGTCATGCATAAATAGTCCGTAAGTTAATTTAGTTTAGTTGCACAAACAGAAACGCAACAATTGAATAGTCAACTGTTTATATACACAATCGAAGTTAGCTGTAAATGTAAAGATCAATCCAATTAAATGACTAAGTTTACGATTAAATTCTCATCTCCAATCAACCTTGGTGTGTCACGATTACTGACTCGAAGTAGGTGATATACGAATGTAACTACAAACAATTTCTTGGTCACCACCAAACCTAAAATAGATAGGCTGTATCCTCAAAAACATGAATCGTCGTATATGTATAAATATTCTTAAATAGATTTCAGTCAAATGAGTCTTGGAAAAAACTAGCTGAAACATACCAATTGGTAAATTCACTTGGTGTTGTTGGCTTGAATCTTCCTATTGATGTTTAGGACTGCAACTGTTCAGCCCCTTATTGGCATATGTGCATCCTGTGTGGATTGCCTCGATATCACCTTAATTCACAAGCATTATATGCAAAGATGGACGATAACTAGTAGTGGATTCCAGGACGCGCGTTTCGTCCCATCTGAGACTCGTCATTTAGATATACCTACATCTCGGAGTTGATGTCCACTTCAAGACTCGAACCCAGTAACGTTCGCTCCATACGCCATCACGTTATCTATTTAGCTACGGAGTCCAGATAGCCACTTAATTAGGCCATAGAGTGAAATGTAAATTCACTTGGTATTGTTTGATATTTTATACATCATATTGAAAATGATCACCAAATCGATTACAGATAACATCAAACAATGTTATAATGAATATGTTCTGTCTATTAAAATTTTTCGTTGAAACAGTGAATATGTTATCAACATTTTAATTATCACATATATATATGTTTAATTAAAAATAAACCCTATATTATTGACTGAAAAATGATACAGCTTTTTTAGTGAGTAGTCATTCGTACTTTAAATGGGTACTACAGAGCTTAACTTATGAAAAAAATAGATTGAATTGTGTAAATTTTACAGAAACTATGTTACAAATAATCAACTTACTTTGTATGCGTATACAATTGTCTGTAATGTGTAGTGAAAGTTGTAACTGACCTATAAATAAACAATTACGTTAAAAATTAAGATGAACAAAATCTGAACTAAATTTTTCTATTAGAAATGATAATTATAATTAAATTGGCTCATGATTTCAACTACTGAAATTACTAAATTCTCCACAGAACCCCTTCTGATAATAATCATCTGCTCACTAGTGACTGACTTCAAAAGACACTCCTAGAGTTCTAGTGAGAAACCGTAACCAGTGGAGTTCAACCAGGTGAGATATCAGCTCACTGAAGGCAATGGTGACGGTGGTGCAATTTCGTTGATTGGATGAAGTTAGACATTAACACCATTGGGTGAAGGCCAGCTCAGTGGTCTAGTGGTTAAGTGTTCGCGCGCGAGACTGATAGGTCCCAGGTTCGAATCTCGCGGGGGTGCGATCGTGAATGCTCACTGCTGAGGAGTCCAATGCTAGGACGAAACGGCCGTCCAGTTCTTCCAGGCTTTCCATGGTGGTCTAGCTTCAATTGACTTATGATCTCGACTATTAAAAATTCATATAATGTCCACAAAACCCCTTCTAATAATTACAAATAAGTATCAGAAGGGGTTTTGTGGATATTATTTGAATTTTTAATAGTCGAGATCATAAGTCAATTGAAGCTAGACCACCATGGTGGATGTGTTGCTCAACTTCGTGGATTAGTTGAAGTTAGACATTAACAAAAGTAAGATAATTGTGAATTAAATATCAGCATTATTTCATGAATGAATGAAAGAGTAAAATTTAACATTATGGTAATAGATCTGATGGGAAATACAAATTATACTACATCAAAGCTAACAATTATCCTGATAGAAACACTTAATTACATGAAATAAACCTCGTTCGGTTGAATTTCGATGACAAAAGACTGAGGAAAACATTTAACCTATAATACCTTATTACTTAAAGAAATTTAAAGTCGAATGAATTGAACGCGATGACATAAAATCACAAATTAATTTGGCAATCTTGATGGGTAGATCGCTACATTGAATTAATAAATATAACATGATTGATTAAAAAGACAGACAGAATCTTAGTCTGTGACCAGCTGCACACAGAACTCATATTCGATTCTTTTGATCAATTAACTCCTATATGAAGGAATTAGCGATCTACATTTCATGTTCATTTCTTTATTTTTTGTCACCACGTTTGCGTCAATATTCAATTATTGTTTAATCTTCAATTAATTCTTAATCTCGATGGGGACTTGTTAACCTCATGTTTTTTTTTCACAAACACGATACAGCTTACTTTAAACAAACTTGGTCACATAGTTACTTGTTTTTCTACGAAAAAAAGATGTATGTTGTAATAGAAATCCCCAAAATTAGTAATAGACATTCACGATAACAATCAGAAATAGGATAAAGTGAATGAATCATCAATACTAGACAACATCGTTGATTAATGATAGTCATTCCATTTAATTATAATACAAAGATTAGAATTAGATTTTTGAAAATGGATTTAAGCTTGATAACCTGAAGTATCACTCTTGCTCCCTCTCTCCTACTCTCATCAATCAACTACATTTTTAACTTTTATGCTATCTGTAGGATTAAATTTGATAAGAATCCATTTTAATCATGCAAGTAATTACTTCTGCGATGATGCATGAATCAGTAAACCCTATAAATTCTACGTAGATTATAAATGAAATCAAAAGGAAACAAAGTACAGTCAAATTTGAAACAACCTATTAATTGTCTACGTTTCAACACAATTACATAATATACCAAACTACGATATCCTAAGACAATTCGGCTACAGTCTAATCAGTCGGCTGCTTAATATTTGCATAACTCGACTGCAATTAGATGGAGACAAGATAGGACTGTTAAGCTAGTACTAGAAAATGTGAAGATTTGCATGCCTTTTAGTGCTGTAAAATCAAAATATATATGCCAGACAAACTTCAAAGTTTAGCTGATAGAAGATTCCATTAATTTATAATCAATCGGCAGAAAACTCAAGGATGAAACTACATTGTCTATTCAACTCGCATTAAACCTAGTGCAATTGGTAACCACAAATGTTGTGTCCCAAATATCATTTTGAGAGGGTTAGGATACTGTCCATGAGCCCAAAACGAAACAGGTGATCTCCTTAGAAGACCACTCTTTGAGTCTTAGACTTAGAGGTCTGATCAACGAGGCTTTGGAGAAACATCAGATGCCCACCCATTTATACACAGTGGTCAAAAGTAGGTCTACAGGCTATTCATTAACCCAGGATACAGGAGCCCATATAGAATAATGGTTTGGAATCAGTTTTCCAACTACCATAAGTGGGTTGTTTATACGCATCACCTCGGTTTTAGCGATAGACTTACGATTTCCTCTCTCATATTCATAAACAACTCTCAGAGCGTGAAGCCAGTGAGTAGAACTACGGGAGACGCTATAAATCAGCTATTCCAGGGTGTCTGGGGTCATACTTTGAATACCGCACCACACTATATAACAATGTATTTTATTAATAATAAGTCAATCCTTATTCTAAACTAAGCAGTCTAATACTGGAGCGGCGGAAGTGGTAGAGCTCAAACTAGGACAGCTCTACACATACTGCAGTTCAGGAAACCAGTTAGTATCGTCAGCCTTTACTTAAATAAAGTGCAAGTCGAAGCTGAGTATGCAAAATTTATAATTAATAAATAAATCAAACATACTTATAGTAAGTTTAGTGAATAGTTATAGACTCACCTTGCCAACAAAGACGATCATAACATTCTGTTGTGGCTAAGATACCATTTTGACAATCGACTGGAATAGTCATTTCATTATCGATTTCATTTAGACAAAGTTTATTACTGAGGGATAATAACGATAAATCTGAATTTAAAGGTATCATAATTCCATAACAAAAGAAATTAGAAGATAGTATTCGAATGAAACGGATTGTGTTCTAACAATTTTCAGATATGCAATCTTATTATTGTAGGACAGACTAAAAATCTACTCTAAATTTGTTGACTCATTAAGGTCAGAGGGACATGTGATTTCCATTATTTCAATTAGCCTCATAAAGAGATAGCCAATGAAAATTGAGAAAGAATAATTTTTATTTAGCCTATAGATAGAATCAGTTGACGTAGACATACGTCTATATGACCTTATTGATTTTTGATGACAAACAAAACAGTGTGACACGGAAAAATTGGCTGACCAATTCTAACCTGTTCATTCGAATTACGTCAATTAGTTGGAGGGAGATTCTCTTTTTCAATCAGTTCGTATTTGACTAAACAAGATATTTTTTTGTGAATTTTGTCATCTGTGATAAGTACTCTTCAATTATTAGTCAAGAGTAGGGAAGATTGATCTATTTTTTGGAGCTTAAGTATAATTTCCCCTTCAGAATACCTACAAAGGTGATATTTTCTCGAATCCTAATGTAATCAGGAAAGTGGATGAATAGTTCAATGGATGGATTTTTACTCATACAACCACGATTTCTTATAAATGTTTTCCCTATTATGTAACAAACTGTCAGCTTAACTGGAATTCTATCTCAAGCCATTCTGTTCAAGACAACAAACGTTGCTATATTTTATACAAATATAACGTTAACTGATGTAATACATTAGCGGATTCAGTGAATAGACATCAGTCACCCCTAATCTCACGTTTCAGTCATGAACTTAGGATAATTGATACACCAAATAGCTGTTAACATTTTTTTTACAGCCTATTCGACAGATATTAAAGATTTACGTATCATCGAACGATAACTTATTCAGCAGTTTGTTTATCATGTATTTGAGGAAGCAATCTTCTCAATCTAACCGAATATCATTTGGTATATATCACTACTGACTGAGTAAACTCATAACTGTAATAATAAATATTGGTTATAACATGGTAAATTCTGAAGGACGATCGATGTTCAGAAAGTTTTTTCAAGTCGTACTTACCATCAAATAACTGTAAATAAGAAAATTAAATTAGGTCTCGAGTTTATCAGAATTAGTAAATATTCATCTCTGGGCTCACGGGAATCGAAACCTTTCCAATTAATCGAAATTTCATCATATAATCTCATAGTCAGATAGTATTGAGATACTCTGAATTTTTCTTAATAAACCGTGCTGGTTATATGGGGTTTTCTAACTTGGATACATGATATAGGTGGTTGGAGGTAGTTGACAGGATATACTAGATGTAGGTACAGTGTTATTTGGTGTTCATCAGCTAAGTTTATATGAAATCTTGTGGGAACTGGTGCTCCATGATGAGTTCGAGCATTGACCATCCAGATTCACAGTCTGAAATGGTACCAGCGAAATATGCAGGTACGCAAGTGAACTTTCGACTGATTGCAGAATAATGATGGATGTCCTTAATGCTGATCAAATTCTATTCAACAAGTTAGATCTTAAAATATTTTGAGGCGTAGTATTTCGTTTGTTTACATTTTAACAGAACCACAGTAATGAAGATGCATTTGACAGGAAAGCCACTAAACGAAAGTAGGATACTGATCATAGTTATTTTCAAATGAGATCTCATTTTTACTAATAAATATATGAGATTTTATTAAAATACCTAAAGAATTGACATTTAATTCATGATGGTTTAAATTTCAAGTTGAACGTTTGTGTAGCTTTACTAACCTGAATAAGACTGTGTTCGTTTTTATGTGACGTCCCGATGACGTATCAACGATACTACATAATCACATATTTCATTATTTTATGCTATTTAAGCAGGTGACATTTTTCATTTTCTTGAATAACTATCTGGTTTCATGTTAACTCCAAAGTATTTCTAATGGCATATAATTGAAGTTGATGAAGACTAGTTGTAGCTCAGGATAAATACGTTGAAGATGTTGTGATCCATTTAGCACAAAGACCACAACAACTCCAACAAAGATCCATTTCACGAAACAGAAAAACATCACTTCATCACCCTAGTAAGCGTTTATGAGCAAATTTGCATGTCACCTGGTGAACTGACAGTTAATTTGAACTCTATAGTTAGATCGAAGCAGTTTAATCGATAATATTTAATTACCTATCAAAAAATCTAGTTCACCGGTACTCTACAAAACTGTCCTAACCAAATACCATCAGTCTAATCAGCGATAGATAGAAATAAACGTAATTTAAAAATCTGATAGTTGGAGATGATCGGTAGAAAACAATGAACCTAGGTTTCGTTCTAGTTATACATATATATGTTCAATTCACAAAACATACATCGAATAATTTTTTATAAATTCCTGATCTAGATGACTTACATGACATAAGGCTACATGTGCATCCTATTTAAGTCTTGTTACCGTCATGAAACTATACGGAATGAGAGCAATAAACATTTCAGAAACAAAATGTAGTCCAATTAAACAGTGGAAAAGGTAAGAAAATAATTACATGAATGTATAATGATTTCTAGCATGATTAATGATTAAATATTAAGTACTTCTAAATGAATACATATATGAAGTTAGGAAATTTATCAAAAATTTCATTATTTATTGAGTATTCGGTTGAATTGCTCTATGTCTATATAAGACAGAGTAACACCCAATTCAGTTCTAAGTTTTTATCACGAACTGTACATATTTAGAAAAGAGTAAAAATAAGATTTCCAAAGAGTTATGACCTCATTAATCCTATCAGAATCTCCGCTACATCATGATACAAATGTTTACCTCTAATTCCCTTCTTATTTACAAGTATGCCAATGTCTAAGATAACTGATTCTAAACTATTATAGTTGGTAAGCAGTTGAAGAGAACTTAGAGAAATAAAATGAATTCTACAACAACCATTATTTTTGCTCTCTTCTAGACAATAAAGGGAACTATGTGTATGAACATATTTAGACAGACATTGAAAACTATGACGTTTCGTCCGACTTCTGCGTGCCAATATGGGACTCTTCAAAAGTGTACATCCATGATCTTACTGACTACTGAACACAATGCTTCCTCGTTTTCAATGGTTGTGTAACTAAGATTAGTTTGTGAAATAAATTCTTTTATTCTACAATCTCCACAATCTTTTCACATCCACTTGTAGATACTATTGAATATTCTGAAATAAGTAGTGATTCAAACATGAAATCTTTTAATCGAAAGCTAAGCCACTACCCCATATTGAAAAATTTACTTACTACTCAGTTTATGTATATTAAACAAAAAAAATAGTTTTTATACTTAAAAATGGCATTAAGATTCTGATGATTCGTGTATTCATGTCAAAACTAACGGTAAATTATGGGTTTGTGCACCAATTGAATCAAAAGGAATTTTCTGGAATTTCCTGAGGTTACAGGTTGGTTGAGTAGCATTCTAAACATTTTCAGATTTCTGATAATTATTGAGATAATTACTAACAACACTCATAATGTTTTTCATTCCAGCCATTTATTTTAAATAAAATTTCACTGCATTAATGTAGTACTACAAAACTCACTTCCAGCAGTGATGTGTTATTTGAATCCCTGTGTTCTGAGGAGCCAGGTGCAAATTGGAAGTAACCTGACGAAATAATACTCATCCCAACAAGTTTAGAACTTCGATAAGACAATAAGATGCTGAATGTGGAGAGGCAGTAAGAACTCGTGTTGTTACAGAGACATAACCATGACACCAAATATTTAATTTTACTGCAAATGTATTAGTTGTTTACCATATGTATGTAATCGCCGAGCCACTGACACTATTGTCCGGTATCATCAAGACAACCGAGACTTTCAGACATTTAGAAGGATACCACAAATAGTAAGAATCACAAAACTGCCGCAAACAATCAGGAGGTAACCATTTTCAGAAGAGCATAGGACTTCCCACTAACATTCTCCATCAAACTATGTCCTGAAAAATCCTTTCCAGTTCTTTCCACTTGCTATTCATCCTTTCCATGTCCGCTTCCAATTCTCGACTCAGTGTGTTCTTTGGCGTTCCTCTTTTTCGTTTACTCTCATGATTTCGTTTTCAGTTGGAAGCTGGTACTACAAAACAATATGAACTAAATATAAATTAACAAATAATTAGACAAAATGAAATGGGTAGATTCTGATACAGATAAAACGTTTAAAAAACCAGAGAACACTGGATAGTTATTTCTTTCTAGTATGAAACTCTTCAGCAACGAACACGCAAATGATTTGAACTGTCAACGAAAACCATTCTCAAGTTGAAGCAATCTCAAACAAAATCATCCTGTCTTAATTGAGTTTCAAGCATAAAATATTACATTATTAAACTAAATATTGAATCTTGATATATCTATCAATTAGAAATAGTGTGTCTGTTCTTCTAACATCATTATAACAGAGAATATTAATTTAGTTAACTAGCCAAAAATGTCTCTAGCATCCTTTAAACACTACTCACATTTGATAAACACTCACTTAGATATTATGTAAGATGATATCTTTTATGAGTAATCATCAATCTATAGTTCTGTCCTGTATTGTCTCATATTGTCCTTCATTGTTTTTGCCACATTTGTGTGTATATTTATTAATTATGATCATGTGACGTAATCAGTTACGTAACACTCATGTAAGTTAGTGGAGTTAGTAAAAAATAAGAGTATTCGAGAAAAGAAAACGAATTATATACAGAATTTTTGATTGAAATCATGAGTCAGTTGAAGCTAGACCACCATGGAAAACCTGGAAGCACTGGACGGCCGTTTCGTCCTAGCATTGAACTCCTCAGCAGTGCACATCCACGACCCCGCATCGCGGGATTCGAACACAGGACCTATCAGTCTCGTGCCAGGAGCCTAATTAATTATTAATTTATTTAATTATCACAATTTGTTCATCTGCAGTAATTATATAGCCAAGTTTAATCTAAAAAATTGTACACAAATAACAGTCAAAGCTGAGATAATTGTTATCAATAAGAAACATTAGTGAATTCTCTAAAAATGGATCAAATCATACAATATTTAGAGTTTTATTCTCTATGACCTAGCTGATTTAACCAAGTAGGTTTAATTTCTGAGGTAAGGCCGATTATAGAGTATTTGGAGTCGG